TTTTCTTCGTTTCTGTAATAAAGTTATTGACGCTAAGTTAATTCAACAGTATGTGTTGTCATCAAGAATGAAGCTCCTTGCCTGATCTGACAATAAAATCTCGGAAGATGGTTCTTGTCTACTTTAGAAAAATAAATCGCGTCACAATGTGATTAGGCGTCATTTTAGGCACTTTCACGTGGAATGAGTCTTTTTACGACTATTATTGCTTTCATTTTTGCTTTGATTCATTACAAGTAAGAGCTGTGGAAATCTGGCTAAACGGATAAGATATTCCTTGCCCGAATGTACCAGATGTGACAACGGACTGACGGCCGATTATCAGTCACCTATAAGCGATCCACTCATTCATCTACGGCTACCATCGATTAGTAGAATAAAACTGTGTAGTTAAGGGTACAAAACTCTCCATTTCTTTATTACTATTAGCCGACTATTTCTTTGCCTTACTTATACAGTAAAAAAACGACTAATTAACGAACGATAGCAGTAAAACGGCTTAAAAAGACTCGATTTATACGAGGTCGACACGGTCCGTATTAATACCGTTATAAATGACCTGATTAATTTAATCATATTGAAGTAGGGGTTATAATCCTTGAATTCTTTTACGTTGTCCTTGCCTCCGAAACTTTTCTCATTGACTGTATTTTTACTAACGGGTTTATAATTTGGTTGATTTTTCAATTGTTACTATACACATCGTATTATTAATGTTCATAAATTTATGTTTTTCTAATAAATGCCATATTAGTTTCGATATGAAAGTGAATTGCGATCATTTTTCACTCGTGTAATTTAAATCAAATAAAACCTTCTCTGCAATATATGCAGTTTTTTGTTTCATTTCTATTCGTGCACTCTCTCTTTCTCTTTGTCTTGTTCAAGTAAAATAAGCAGAAAAAAAACTGTATTTTTTTACATATTTCACCCTTCTTTTTACGTAAGGCACTTGAGCACACAAATAGTAAAGATTATGTATGTGTATCAGTGTGAATGCTACAAATTGAGATTTGATAGAGAAGATTAAATATCAAAAGCAACCGCTTTCAAGTGGCTATTGAACAGGTAAGAACTTTAGATAAAAATTTAAATAGAAGATTACGGAACGAACTAACCATGATATTTCTTAAAAATATTTTTCGAATCAATATTCAATATACTCATTCAAAAGGATAATGTTAAAAACGGACTTCATGACTATTTAAATCACTAATTAATGAGAGCATGGACAGTTTTGTAAAAGATTTGAATGTCATACAAAATTCTAGAGTGAAGTCTGAATCAGTTTTCATGATGAATCAAGTTTAAACTGAAAATGATGTGGTTTTATTAACAATTATTGTAACTTCATGACCGAATTGACTTGAATGTATTGAACGGGTAAACTATATTTTTTATTCAAGACCAATGATTGAAGTGGTGACGATAAAAAATAATGTGCATCAGTTAAGACAATGTTTAACCAATTTTTTTTGATTTATTCCCATATATGAAACAACATTTTGAACATATTCGATAGCTAGGTTTTTAAAGGTATAGACTTTCATATTTTGGAGTGAGAGATTTCACTCAGGAAAATTAGAACAATTTCTCAAAAAATATGCATCATGTGTCTAGTTATAAGTAAGCAGACACTCTGAGAATGAGTGTGTTTTTAGATATGCGAAAAAACTTTCTTTCTTCAAAAAAACTTTTTCTGCCAACGTCTCATCATCACTTACTCATCATACTTAGTAATTGACATATCATGTGAGTCATTGTCATCCAAAAGTACATGCAAATAACTCTCTATAGGTGAAAACTACAAATGGACTTTAAGGTACGAATTTCAATGTGAAACATCTAAACATTTACATGTATCTGAAATGATAAACTAAATACAAAAATTTTCTATTTTACACATTTCTTTGCAATGTAATTTTCTACTCTTTACTATTCAATAAGTATTTCACGAATAAAAAATGTTTAGCTACACTACTCTTAAAGTTTTCATTTTTCTTTAGTACTCTGTCATTTACTCACTACTATAAAAAAAGTTTATCACATTCAAGCACTGAGCTATGATTTTTCGAAGAAGAAAATAAACCAGTTTAAAGTTGGATATCTCCTTTCATATGGTCTATTCACTCTTCGTATTCCTTAGCTTTTGAGAATTCTAGAAAGTCCTTCATTTAAGAATGAGACTTTTTTCAAATTTCTTTTTTGACGTCTTTCTCAAAATGATACCAAGCAAAACACTTGCATATATAAAGGTTAAATTTTATGATCCAAAGTGTTCATATACATTGTCTATTCATTCAGTCGTTGTATAGTTCATTATCATTATGATACATCAAGTGTATGTTACGCAAAAAATTTTCTTTTTCCTTTTTTATTTGTCATCAACTATCGCTCGTGTATATTGAAATAGAGAGATTAGAATAATTGAGTAGATTACAGGTGTTAGTAAACATGTCATTTAGAAGTCAGTTTTGTTTGTGGTGTGATGTAAACAGGAAAAGAAATTTCGCGTTAAAACAGAAGTCATTATATATATTAATCATTAAAAGAAGTTACATTGTATATAAAAAAAAAAAGAAGATTTACATAACAAGGAATGGGTGAGTGTTTGAAGTTAATTTATTATTGTTGACCGAGGAAAAAAATCAGCTGTCCAAAACAACGATTGATAGATGAGAATAGATGAAAGTTTTTGAATAATTTAATTGTATCAAGTTAAGCAATAGATTGTGAATAATTGTCTTTTCTTTCTCGCTCTTTTAGGTATTTCAAGAAAAGTTCATATATCTCCCTCCATTAGTTAGGTGAAGCTTAATTTTCATTTATAATAAGCTCTTCAATATGATATTCTTTAAAAGTCAAGTTGAAGCAGTCGCATGCTTGCACAGATGATTCTCGCACTACTGACGAAGAACAGAAACACCTATGGCATTTGTGCAAAATATCACTACTATTTTTGAAACTTTCTTTTCTTTTGCTCTGCTTTTTGTAACAATATAAAACGAATAGTAGGGCCACATCTGAAAGCTGTTAAAGCTTCGAGCACATCTTCTCATCTATACTAAATAAGTAGGAAACCGGAGCATGCGTTTTTTCTAAATACACCGACCTTTTCAAGAAAAATATGTAAATATATATTACAAAATTGTAAAAATATATAACACACAACATATAAAACAACAACATGTCATATGCGAACTTTGAAATAACAACACACACGTACGACATAAGCTAAACATGCGTCTTCTTGTAAACAAGAAGTGAATAAAAATTTAATTAACTATCCATATGTTTGTTTTGTGGCTGTGATCAGTTATACAGTTCTCTCCTCCACGCAGCAGTACGAAAAGAAGAAAGAAAATGAGTGAAGTCCAGCAGTTAAGGTATTTCTATTTTTTTGACGTTTGTATTCTTTTTCTTCTTCTCTTGTTGTCTTATACACAAAAGTACTGTATCTACAGTATGAAAGTACAAAGAGAAGAAGAAGAAAACTCTTCACTATAACGTTATACCTAAAAATCATGAAGAAGAAAAAAAGAAAAACTGAATGAATGAAGAGAAGGCGCATCACATAGCATCATTGATTAAAAGGTGTAATGGTGTGTAGGTGAGCGCAGGCGAGTAACGCATGTACATTTTCTCTTCTCTCTCTTTTTTTTTCGGTCATGGAATGAGAGAAATACTTGTTAAAACTTTTTTGTATAACGAAAACAAAACAGAAAAAGAAAGTGTAATTGATTGTTATCATGAACACAACACCACTCTCTATAACAGAAGAGACAGCGACGGTCTCATTTCAATTCTTTCGTGATCTGATTTTTTTGTCATATATGCTGTTTTATTTATTAAAATAAAACGAAACTTTTCAGTATTTTCCTTTTTCTCTACCATGTCCGATCACACTCACACGCTCTGTTAGATACAAAATTGTACAATAAAAAAATAATAAAAATAATTTATAATATTTATGGAAGAGTAATGATTTAAATGGTAAGTATTGTATATGTTCGATAGAGATCTGTTTTATGGAGAAATTGAGAAATCAAATTGACTTCTAAACTCAAATTCGTTTTAAACACAAATTAGGAGTGAATGTAGAAGAAGATTCTTAGTGGATCAAGGACAAAAGTCAAATGAATTGTTGACTTAATTTCATCTTTAATTACAACATTGTATGCAGCATACATATGTTTAAATTTATCAAAGTACATTGTCTATTACTTTGATATATATCCTAAACATGTACTAAAACAACAAATGTTTACTTTATACAAGATGTCTCAATTATCCTTGAAGTATTTCCGAGAATGCTTGTTTGAATTTTTGATGTATGTTTTTTGTCGATTCTACTTCAGTGATGTTTGATATTAACACAATTTTTTTATGTTATTTTACTATGTATTAAATTATTGTACAGACAGACAGATAAAAATAAGAACCATCACAAATTCTATATATTTTTGAAAGAAAATTTTTTTTTTTTTATTGTCGAATATATACATACACATATTATATGTATATAAGTATGTTTAAATCTATAGTCTAGATGGATATATTGTAACTATATACAGTTTGTAAAATGATTTCTTTCTCCTCCTTTTTGTTGCTTAATATCCTCTTGTCATGAGAATAAGAACGCATATACATACAAATATCCCTAAAAGAGAACACAAAATTTGATCTCTTTATTTTTTTATCCATGTTTCTTTTTTGTTAAAGATCTGTTGCAACGATCAGAAGCTTATGATAACTAGTTTCTGCTCAAAATTTAGAAATAAATTATGAAAAGAAAAGAAAAGAAATTTTTGATCAAAACTGACATTTTGACTTTACTTATAAGGAAGAAAAAAGGATTTTAGATTGAAAAAAAAAAGAAATTTGTAAATTTAAAATTACTTTATATTTTGTTGTTTTTGTTTAATTAGATGTACGATTGTGTCGTTTTTCTGTGAAATAGATACCAAATAATGAACAATAAAATACAGCTATCTTAAACTATGACTGATATTGATCAGGAACAATCGGTAAAAAATTTACTTAAACTACACAGTGTAGCACATTTATTAAAACGTGATCGTGAACAATTACAACAGCAATCGCATTCAATCGCCTTTTATCACGATTCAATTGATCGGGAAAAAGCTGAACAATTATTAAAATCAAAATATTCTAAATATCGTCACGATGGATTGTTTCTTTTGCGTGACTGTACTACATCTCCACACGACTTTAGTCTATCAGTGATTTATCTCGATAAATGTTATCATTATAAAATACAATTAATATACGATATTTATTTTCGAATTGATAGTGGACCACAAATAGCCGGCATCGAAGCACTCATTCAATATTATCAAAAACGACCAGATGGACTAGCATGTTTATTATCGAATGAATTTGTTGTTAATATTCCTCCACCTATTAGTACCCGACGATCTGGCTACACAAATACATTACATAAAGCATGTAGACAAGGAAATATTGAACTTGTTAAACAAATTTTATCGATCGATCACTGTAGACCAGATGTCAATGCAAAAGATTCAGAAGGCTCAACAGCGTTGCATGATGCATGTTATTTTGGACATGATGATATTGTGAGATTGCTATTAAAAGCTGGAGCACATGTTCTAGCAAGAGATGCAGATGGTGGAACGGCTTTGCATAGAGTAAGACTAATTTTAGCACAGTTTAATTTATCATTTTTTCCTTTTTTTTTCTATATAGGCAGCTGCTGGCAATCGTCCATCAACATTGTTTATATTGATTAATGAAGGTAATGCCGATTATGAAGAGCGTAATTATATAAATAATTGGGTGCCATTACATGAGGCTGCTTATCATAACAGTGCAGCATGTTGTCATGCTCTCTTGGAAAATGGTGCGCCTTTGCGTGCGCGAACAAGCTACGGTAAAACACCATTAGAAATAGCAGAAGAAGAAAAATCGGATGATTGTGTACAAATTTTACGTGATTATAAACCATTACCAGCTGTTAGTCGAAAATCTGATTGGCTGCATGAAACAAATTTAGATCGTTTAACGGCAAAAACATTGTTAGAATCAAAAGGTTCTAAAAATGGAATGTTTGTCGTACGACTTTCGTCAAAAAACCCCAAAAATTATGCTCTATCGTTATATAACGAAAAAGAATTTTTTAACTATGAAATTATTAAACTGAACGACACAACGTATTACATCGATGATGGGCCATATTTTGATTGTATTGAACATTTAATTGATCATTATTGTCGAATACCTGATGGATTGCCTACAACATTGTTATCGTCAATAAATAGACTTGGACAAATTGTGCCTAGCAGAGTTCAACCTTTAGCAGTTTATGCTGTTGCATCAAATACACCATTGACTACAGTACGAAGTAAACCGACAAATGGAGAATTATCCAAACAAGCGAGTGTCGATGAGACAATAACGAAATTAAATGGAGGAGTGCAACGAGGAATAGTACGACGAAGCACAATACATTTGCGTAAGAAATTTTTATCCAAATTATTTTCCATAATTTTATAGATCTCGAGTAAAAGTTTTTTTATCTTCGTCAAATTACATTCGGAGATATTCAACTTTGACCGTGACGAAAATGGAATCATTAAAAGAGTGTTGAAACAATATAAATTTGTCATTTCAGCAAATGGTTCATTGAGCGGCTCAGTGACTTCGTTGGTCTCTTCTTCCTCTCGTTCACGTGCCAGCAGCAACCAAGACCCCACATCTCCATCTTCTTCATCATTATCGACAAGTTCTTCTTCAGCCAGTCTATCACCTTCACCACAAGCAACAAATAATAATCATACACCAACAAACGCCGATAGTCTAATCCCGTTTGTCGATAGACGACAAGCTGTCGGTGGACGAATTCGTCCATTTATATCTGAACTTACTCAAACAAAAACTTCTCGTTCAAATTCAAATGGTTCACAATCATCATCATCGGTCAAACGCCAACAAACACAACAAAAACGAAAATCGTTACAATTGACCATGATACCAATGAGTCAAATTCAACAAACATCTGTGCTGGGTGAAGGAGAATTTGGTCAAGTATGGGAAGGATTTTATAAAGATGAACGTCGCAATGGAATTCCAGTAGCCATCAAGATTTTAAAAGATTATTCATATTCGATGAAACAAGATTTTTTGAGAGAAGCTGAACACATGGCAACATTAACTCATCATTGTATTACGAAATTATATGGAATCGTTGATAATGATGACAGTATGATGATGGTCATTGAATTATTACCATTGGGAGCACTGATAGATTACCTATGGAAATACAAAGGACAAATTAACGAAAGTAGATTAAAATTATGGAGTGCTCAAATTACAGATGGTATGGCCTATGTCGAAAGAAAAGGAATCGTACACAGGTGAGATTATTCATAAAAGTACTATTCAGCTCGAGCAAAAGCAATGTTATTGTTTTTTTAATGATCAATTTTGATCTATGGTATAGTAGTGTAAATCTGAAGAACATAAAAAGTTACAGAGAACACTTCAGCCTATTTTTTTTCTCCTATTTCTTTTTTTCGGAAATTTCCGAAGTAATGCCGTGTTTCTGATTTAAGTTAAATATATCATTGTAATGGTGATACGATTTTTTTAAAAAATACTAATTTATTTAAAACTCTTAGCGATTATTTGAATCGCTTTTCTAAAAAATTGATTATAAATATTTCTACACTAAAGTGTATTTTTACGTTTTCAAGCTATCTATAGAAAATTGTTGTCAGCTATCTGATTTTTTATAGGGATCTTGCAGCCAGAAATGTTTTGATACAATCAAACGATCAAGTCAAAATAAGGTATAATTAATTGTATAATTAAAGTTTTAATATATATAAACTAAACATATCTCACATTTCTTTATAGTGATTTTGGTTTGTCGAGGCGTACTGAAGCTGATGTTTATATGCAACGTTCTGATAGTAAAATACCTGTAAAATGGTATGTATGTCTAATAAGCAGAGTAACAAATGAACCGAACATTTGTGATAAGTTTAATTGTTACTTTTCTTATATAACATCTAATAACTTTTTATTAAATTATACATTAGACTGTAGTCCATTGTCCGTTCTACATGACTTCTGTACTTTTGGTTTAGCTATTACTCCAAATTCTAGCAGTTTTGTTTTCTTGCAGGTATGCTCCAGAAGCAATCAATTATGGCCGATTTACATCGAAGAGTGATGTATGGTCATTCGGTGTCACTGTTTGGGAAATGTTTAGTTATGCTGCAACGCCCTATGGTCAGTATTATCTAGTCTCATTAAACTTTTTAACAATTTAATCTAGATCTTATATTGTTTAGGTGATATGAATGGTACTGACGTATATTATTATCTTCAAAGAGGAAAACGTTTAGAACGTCCCAGTCGGTGCCCACCATCGACGTATCGTATTATGCTAAAGTGTTGGGAATGGGATGAATCAAAACGTCCTACTTTTTTTGAACTAATGCGTTACTTTAAAAATGATCCCGAATATCGAGATGCTATTAAGTCAACCGTGACAACTGGCCTCGATCGAGATTCTCATTTCTCCGATCAGCAGCAATTAAACACGAATAATAATAATAATAACAGCAACGATGACGATAACAGTGATAATCAAGAACAGTTTGCTTTTTCTCAACATTCGTCCTCACCATCTTCCTTGTTCACTTATCCATTTTCACACGGATTTGACACATCTCAACACACAAACACAAACAATATTCATATATCAAAGTCATCAATATGGCTCAATAAGCGATAAATAGGTTATTATGCGCTTCTTTTTCTACGCAATATGTTTTATTAAAACTTGTCTCTCATTAGATATAAATAGAGTGATCCACTGATAGAATTTTTTAAGTAAGATAGCAACAGTGTGATGTCGAAAGCCGAGGAGCACGCATTTAGGATTTACCGAATTGAAATGTTGTGTGCAAATGTCTGTATTAGATTTCTGCGGATGATATTTGTACAAAGGAAAAACGTCGAGCATTGACTGATGTCTTCGAGTATCTGTTTCTAATCGTTTGATGATAGCGATGAAGTTTTTCCTGCAATTTTCATTTTTGCAGACTTCTAATTCACCTCCCCTAGTCGAACTTAATTTATTAAAAATTGCACAGAAAGAGCTACAGTAAGAACGGAAGACCTTGTTCAAGACATTCATATACAAATCAGTGGATGATATATGATCCTAATAACGACTTCAGTATACTTTGTTTACTATACATTCCATAGTTCAGTTCTCGAACATTCATGATACCGGTTTTTTTCTATCTGAATACCTGTGAAGAGTACATGTGTATGCAGAAGAAAAGAAGATTTCTTCTTTTTTTTATGAAATATATATTTTTTTGTTGAACAATTGTAAATTTTTCATGCGAATTTTGAACATATATGCAATTTTTGTCAAAATTATTATTTCTGTACATTTTACATGGTGCTCTATATTTTTCCATAATCGTTATATTATTCCTACGACTAAGAAAAATCTTCGTTTGTTTTTTTTTCGATACGAACAGAGAACGCAATTATTGTATGCTCATTTTTTTTTACCTGTTTTTGTTATTTATATGTGTTAAACATTACTTCAACATGATAAAAATAAATAACACAATAGAAAACACAAATGGAAAAAGTAACTTTTAAAACCAGCACTCGGTTAACTATACTAGAAGTACCAAGGTAAAGAACAAAGAGGGAAAATTTCTGTTCCTGCCAGTCGACGGCTTGGGCTGTTAAAGTATCAGCATAATTTTTTTCTAAAATCTACGTTAAATATGTAAAACCAAACGCACTTTTTCACGTTGGTTACGAATATAACCTTAAAAATACATAAAAAACTGAGTTTAAAGTTAAAAAGTTCTAATTTGAGATTCAAACGTTATCGTATCGCGAAGGTAAAGTTACAATTCCGATGAAAAAAAATTTCAAACCTTCCTTTTTACCAAAATATAAAATATCTTCTACAAACTCCATTCCATTTATTTTTCAACACTTAAACCAGATTCTTTCACGAACGTGAATGACAATGACTTTAAAAATGGCCCAGTCGTGTTACTCTCTCAATGTCTTTTCTAGAAAACGAACAGAAAAGATCCTGGAGTTTACATCTTCAGCATAGATTGGGATTCTAGATATACCTATAATTTGATACAAAGATGAAGTCTGTATCTAATCCGAGTAAGCAGGAACGCAACTAAGATTTTTAGACTTTTGGGCCATTCCCCACAGAGTTAAACAAAATCACTGGGTTCCGGTAGGCCGAAGGCTTCCTGTTTTGGCCGCAAATTTTTCAGATTGTAAACAAATCAAATACTTGAGTTTTTCCTGCTCCTCTTCAATGAGAAAAACATCGACAGTTCAAGACACAAAACATTTGAGCAGCAAGGTATTAGTTTGTTGAAGGACGTTTTGGTTTTGTGAAAAACCCTTTTTAGAGATGGCAAAAAGGTTTCCCGTCAAAGGTCACAAAAAGGTGTCTCGTAGAAAAAAGTGCTCCACTGTGGGCTATTTTAAGCGTCCCATTCATTGTGTGAGGCACTTGTTTTTTCATAGCGTAGTTAAAAATATTTTGACTGAAAAACTTTTATATATATATATATATATATGGTTGCATAGAATAGATATTGTCCTATACTTAGTTTTTAGTTTTCAAGCTGATGTTTGGACGTTCAGATAGTCGCAGGACAATTCGTCGCAGACAATTCGCTGCATGTCTGTTCGTCGCACGGTCAATTCGTCGCAGTCAGCTCGTTGCAGTCAATTTGTCACGGACTATTAGTCGTATAGTTTTCTAATGGAAAAGGGAAAGGGCTATCAAAAACTGACGAGGGAACCGTCTCAAGTGATTAATCATTGTAACTATGAAATTACTGTTCTTATATGTAATCGACGGTGCTGATTACGAATATGAAGTCCGAATTTTTTAAGTTCAGCTTACCATGATACAGTACTCACTGTACGAGAACTAAAAGCAGTTTTTTGTCGTGAAAAATTCTGTATTTATCGTTGAACCTTGTGCAGTTGCTTCATAAAACACTTCGCTCGGGGAGGGCGGCGGGTGACGACACAACATTGCAGGCATTGATTTTGAACGTTTATGTGACAGAAAGTTGCTGAACAAACATGAGCACAACTGTTAGATTTTGCTGATACGGAGCTTAAATTTTTTCGGGTTTTGGTATAAATCGATACTCTTATTAATTGGCCCTACCTAACTTACGACAGTCTACCATATATATGACGTGTCATGTGCTCAATCGGGCTTTCAGAGATCCGAAAATTAAATTTGTTCAAAAAGACTTTCTGAGTCAGCCATTTTGTAGCGCGCATCAAACTATATCTAATCTGTAAGTTTTAGACTTCCCAATTGAGTTTTAGAGGCGCTACGAGTATTTTAAATCCAGATGTACCATGATACAGTTCTCACTGTACGAGAACTAACAGATAGTTTTTTGCCGTGGAAAAGCTTAATGAAAATTTGACTTGTGCATGAATCGAAAGACCATTGCACTATTACTAATTCGCTAGTTTTACTGTTCGCCGGACTCTTACGCTTTCGAGAGCCCGATGGTTTGCGATGGATAGACCGAGTTTGAGTATAGGCTATCTTGACCTAGAAAATGCAGGGATTAAGATAGCAATCTGGAAACATCCATCTTTGTTTTGCATCATTACATATAAACTTGTCCTTATTGCAATCAATACACTTTTCCAGAAATAATTTTCACTTATCCACATGCTGTTTACTATCAATCATCTGTGTTTGTGCACTAGGTGAATACCAGACACTTCGTCGTTTTCTACTCTCGCGGAATTGCGAAAGCCTCTTTCTCTTTCTGTTGACTTTTATTTGAATATACGCGACGCAGAGCATGAAATATAAACAACAGGCGATGTTTGGGTACTTGTATTAGCAACTCACAATGGTGGACGTCCTTCGAAAACGCAAACATCCACCATTAACGGAGAGCCGATTGAAACCAAAGCCTCTGAAGTCACTTTCACTCGTAGACTAGAAGAGGGTCACAGAGCGGCACTCTCTTCTAGTTTTCACAGAATAGAATTATAATGCCATATGTTGATTGAGAATGTCGGATTGTGAATGAGATAGTAGTACTCGCCGAAATCAGGAATTGTTAGTGGAAGTGTGTTGCGAATGAATCAGTGACAGATGTTCATGAATGCTGGTTGGGGATCTCTCTGAGTTGAAAATACTTGTTCACTAGCGAATAGTTTATCCTTTCGTAAGTGAACAGAGTGAAAGATAAAGAGAGCATGGAGGTGAGACTAAATGACTGAATCTGCCTTGGCTTCACGTTGACGAAAGGTGTTTGAATAGTGTCGAGCAATCAACAAGTAAGACTGGGTGATCCGATGATACCACCACTTTTTCTTGGATTTCACTCTCTCAAGTTAAATGCTATTGAATGCGTGCGTTCCTTTTTAGATCTATGTTGGATTGTAAATGTCTGTAATTTAGTTCTAATGTTAATCTAACCAACTAGGTTTTTATATCAATATATAGGAAGCTAAAATCTAGGACAGAATACTAACCGGATATTCACCGATTACATATGCGTCTGAACGGGTAGGAATATTTTGTAATCATTATTCAAACTCATTTTTTGTCAATTTANACTAACCGGATATTCACCGATTACATATGCGTCTGAACGGGTAGGAATATTTTGTAATCATTATTCAAACTCATTTTTTGTCAATTTAGAATAATCTCTTCGAAATACAGATGCAGATTAAAGCTGTTAAAGCACCCACGTGATCTATGCTTCACTTTAAGTATAAATAGGATAATATTTCTTTACCTTCTGCTCATTTTACAGCGAGTACAAAAATAAATGGAATTCGCATTCTGAGTTTACGAGTTCTGCTAAACAAAGTGCTTCAAAATTATAATCTTGAAGATTATGTTACAAGTAGAAATTTTTGAGCTCTATCGTTTAGTATATTCACAGAAATTTTAAAATCTTTAGGAAAAATAAAGATAGAGTACTGCTAGGGGAGATTTTCAATATAAATCGAATTTGTCGTCCTCACGCCCTCAAAAAAAACATTGTTTTTTTCGAGAAAAGAATTTGAACTCTTCATAAGTCGGCATGGGCTATAAAATGGCATACTAAAACTTTGTCGGATTTAATGCAACTCCTGGTTAACCTGTGTGAAAACACCTCTTTTTCAGTATGAAAGTAAAACGCTTCCATAGTCCACTTTCCTTGGAAAAATTCCCAGGGAATCACGACAAACAACAAATTCCCCAGGGAGTTTAGAAGGAGCCCCTAAGGGTTTCTCAGGAAGTTCTCCAAAACGAATACATGCTGAATTCGACTCCTGTGCTCAATTTTAAGCGTAATTTAGCTTTATTATAGACGCTCTTTTTGTCTTCATTGTGTACCCAATATAAATAACAAAAACTTTCATCTTAGGTACGCATATTAACTAGATTAAATATAATTCTTGTTTCATATTTGAAAAAAAAATATTATAACGTTGGAAATAGTCATTTTCTCCCACATATTGCATGTTTTATTACCAACTAGTTAAATGATCGATGTAGTTTGAGTAATCCCAAGTCTGACAAGTTCCTA